GGTTAAAGCAAACACAAGCTGTCTATTTTATTAGGGTACTATTTAGGACCTTCTGCTGGAACAGGAAATCAAGGCCTGAACTCCTGGCGTTATACATTTTTAGTTTCTCACCATGAATATGTTTGTCTTATTTAGAGGGAGTCAATGCATCTCAGATGATTTTACCGTGAACAAAATTACTTTAATATTCCAAGTTATTGTGAATACGGTGCAGCCATTGTGACTTCTATCATTTCCGTTATCGCTGTACACAGTAAAACGACCGTATCTCTTATTTTGGATTTAGATAGCTGAAACAAAAAATCCAACACTGTGGATTTTTTTTATTAGTCTGATTTTGTATTTTTACATTTAGGTTTTCAAAACAAAAAAAACAACACGGTTGTTTTCAATATGCAATTTTGTCTTGAAACGGACAAACCAAAGGTTTTGTGTTTCTACCTGTGTGCTGTATATACAACCACTAGAGGGCATGGCATCTTATTTTCTACTAAAGTCCTCATATAGAATGAAAAACCTGGTAGAGTTCTYATATGGGGTCACAAACTTTTTTCTTTTTTCCCCCCACAGAATCATCAACAGACATAACAAGTCCGGTAAGTTACCAACGCTTTTTGTCTGATGTTTTATAGTTTTTATAAGAGGGCTGCAAAGTTCAACATTTTTCTGCTTTTCCTCTGATCAAGCTGCCCCTTTATGTAGGAGGGCCAGGTTCGTTGACAGACACCATCTCTGCTTTTGTGTCTGACTGTGTTGTTGTGAAGCTAGTGCGCGTGTCATTGTTTCTGTTTTATTGCTGCACATATTAACATCCAGTATAATTCTGCTTTACAGGAAAACCCGCTTCTTCAGGGTAAGAGAAAACAATAAAATAAATAAAAGCTCTATATCTAATTTGCTTTAAAACAAGTGCATATTGGATGATWTATTTCTTCTCTTCATTCCAGTTCCAGTCGACATGCAGCCTCTCCTCCCTGACATAGCGAACAAGCTTGGGTGGGTTAATATGTATCGAATAGCGCTACGGAGTGGAATATCAAAAACTGAGATTGACAATGTTAAGTTGAACCAGCCATTGGACGCCGAGGAGAGGACTTTAGAATTACTGGGGATGTGGGTGGAGAGGAGGGGCAAGCGCGCATCACAGGAACTGATCGAGATGCTTCAAAAAAGTGGCAAAAAGGCCACGGCAGAAAAGATTTTAGAAATATATAAAAGTGCCAACCCTGTGACCTCTWGTAGTTCTGAGTAATTGTGCCTGTTTGAATATATTTACTCTGCCTAACAGTGTTCTTGTTAATGAACTGTGACTGCTTGTCTGCTTAAACTTTATTGTATTTGATAACTTGATAAAGTTTTTAGGTTTACATAGAAGTCCGCTGCGAGCTGCAGGGATGATTCATGAACAAATGCTTCTTATGTGCTTTAATCTGATCAGATCATGGATCGACACGMTTTTATTGTAGTTATTTTATGGGATGATGACGGTAGGTGAATGTTAAATGCTTTTATTTTATGATGGAATATTAGGGCCACGCTACAAGATTTATTTATTTTTAATTAGGAGAGGAAAAAAGGTATTTTACATGAGATATCTATTTCCCGTTCCTGGGTCGGCTCGGCTCACATCTGCTGTGTACAGCCTCCAATGTTTGTCTAAAAGTTCTCGTAATCCTATGACTTTATTCTGGTAATATTATGACTTTATATTTAAATGTATTATAACAACTTTATTTTGGTAATATTATGACTTTTACATAATTTAAAACAATAATCTTGATGTGTGGCCCTAATAATACCCTAATAATGATTTGCTTACAAAGTGCACGTTTAGAGTTGTTCTGCTTTCCTGGGTTTCCTTCTGCAAATGGGCCTTAGACTCCATTCACACTGGAGCCACAATTTATGCTAATCTATTGTAATGTGTTCAGATAACTCTAAATGCAGGTTTTTATGCAAACCACCTACAAAGGTGATCCAGACTCCTTTTATTTCCATATGTTTGTTAGTCTGAACATGACCTGTCCTGAGTACGGTAACATTTATTTAATTATTATTTTAAATTTTACAAAAAAATATCAAAATCTCTAAACTACTAGAATTTACTAAATAAACAATATGCGCTATATTATATATCAATATTACTGTACAAAAAAATTTAATGTAAATATTATTTTACCAGTAATATTTAAGTGCTTTTTCTGGACAGCACATAAACATAAATATATTAAGTAATTTCTACTCTTCTGGGCTCAAACTGAGGGTGCATGCGCACACAAAGGCTGCTGCTCCTCATTCCCTTGCTTCACTTTTCAAGGAGAGGACAAGACATGGTCGAAATAAAACATAAGTTTCTGGTTTCTTTTGCTTGAATACATTTGTTGGTGTGCAGTAGTTTGATGGCATATGACTGCAATGGAGGATTGTGGGTAGGATTCGTGTTGCTAAATCGTTTTAGGGAATTGGTTAATATTGTTCTTTCAGCAATTAGTCTGTTGTGTTACTCTTATTTGTGTGTTCATTATTTGTTAACTTGTGTTAAACTGTTCAGCAGAAGTAACCATAAGTGAGAGTGGTAGGCCTAGTCATTATTAAGACCTGTGAGTTTCACTTTGTCTGTTTTGTTCATGAAGAAGAATCCAATAAAGGTTCTTCAAAACCGTCACCTGGTGGTGAAGTCTTGAACTACAACAAGAGCTACACCTCTCTGTAGCTGTGAGGTGTCGTGCTACAATATTGTGCTTGACACATGTGCACTGTTGTAAAGAACTTGAAAGATTTACTTGAAAAAAACCTCGTAATAATTTGCACTAATGTTTACGTAAATTTAAATGCTACAAATTCAAGTAATATTACATAATAAAAATATACACCGGGAGTTACTTCTGTTTTATTCAACTTCCACATAACACCAGCACTTTATTTACTTAACTCTTGCTAACCGCAACCGTTAGCGGTAGGCTACTTCTGGTATTAGCAACTCGGTATTTCAAAATAAGAGTCTGTTTTAATACAGTCAGAGCCTGGTCCGAAGCAATAAATTTTCAACTAAACTATCTATTGATTATTCCTAATTTTCAACACAATATTATCTGAATATTGTTTTAACAAAACCTTGAAAAATGAAAATGGATTGCATTATTTTTTCTAAAGAAATATTTATTAGAAAAATCTTGAACAGTGTTGAAAGCAAATCTGAAAAGTAAATTTAACGTTAATATAAATATAGTTTATTGTTTTCATTTCATTCTCCAAAAATGGGGAAATTGTCCATTGTTTCGTTTTTTTTAAACGTTTAACACTGTAGGTCTATGGAAGCCCATTTCCGCCACCCTGATAAAAAAATAAAACTTGTATCTCATAATTATGAGATAGTTATCTCATAATTATGAGATAGTATCTCATAATTATGAGATACAAGTTTTATTTATTTTTTTAACAGGGTGGCTGAAATGGGCTTCCATAGTAGGTCAGACCATTTCATATGAAACAAATTCATTTCAATAATAAGAGGCTCCCTGTAAATAAATGAACACTAGCTAACTATTTTTTTGACTGTATTCTGGTGTTTATAACTCATTGCTCTCAGGAAGTGGTGAAGATCTTTCAAAAAAGATTGTACTTTTTTTGCACTGATTAGTAATAGCAAACCAAATGGAGTCTTCATTTTTGTATACAACGTTTAATCCGCTTTATTTTTATCATCCCGCCGCTTATAACATCAAAATGACATGTATAACTAGCTAGCCATTAGCACAACAAACATTAGCTAACTAGTTTTATATTGACTTTTCTTCTATTTCTGGAGTATAAAATAAAAATAGGACCAACACCCGTTTTTCGATTTTCAATATTAGTTTTTAAAAATAAAAATATGACGAAAAAGCGCACCTGCTGTGTTAAAGCATTTGTAAGTGATCATGGATGTAGCGCCCCCTTCATATCAGGAGTGTAATGGAGCTACTTCCATATATGGTATGGCTCGGGCCTCGGGCGCGACCCCGCCCCTTACGTTTTGCTGCAGCGAGGGCTCACTCCCTTTGGAGGCAGGGCGGTCTTTTTTGACATGGGTGGAGCGCACACAGTCAGGAAATATCGAGAAGAGGAGGCTGCTGAGTGAGCRGTCACCGGATGAACCGCCAAATGAACTTTTATCATCATGCAGACGAGAACACAGGTAAGTACACTAGCTAAAACTGTAGCTCTGTTAGCAGTCATTTCCTAAACACTGTCTTATACGTTTGTTAAATCATGTAAAACAACAGTTCTGAAGTTTTTTTCAGCTGCTCTCTGTTGTAAAGTTTCATTCACACAGATGAAAGAATCGTTTATTCGCAGACCAGGCTGTGAAGTGACTCATTGGTCTGAAAAAAAAAAAAAAAAAAGTTCGTCTGCTGCCACTTTTCAGCTTTCTCTGTTTTGTTGCTAAGGCTACAGAGGAGTGTATGGCAGACCCTTCTGACATATAATCAAACGAAACTTCTAACTACTTTCTATCAGCACTGTGATGAACACTGCCAGAAAGCATGTTTAATTTTGTTTATTCACTGTTCATTAGACATTTTAATTTCACTCGTTTTTGTGTTAGTATTGCATCTCATGAAGTACTCAAAATATATTTTAAATACTTGTACTTTTGCTTTTAATGAGTGTAATTACGGATGGCTAAATGTACTTTGTCATTCATTATAAAATAAAAAACTCACAATAAAGACACTCACAATATTATTTTACTAGTAAATATTTTTATTTGATATTCAAAACTATATTTGTGATATCCAGAATCATTTTTCCATTTTGAATATTTGAAATAAAACTTGTGATTAGTAACAACTACATTGAGGGCATACAAAATAAACCAGTTTCAGTTATCTAAAATATTCCCCTGCTTCTTCCTTTTAATTTGAATTTGATTAATTTACATCTAGTGACATGATTTTAATTAGCTCCAGCTGCAACACACTCTCCTCACTGAACACATCCATCAGTTCAAAGTATAGCTAATACACCCCAAAGGCAATTATCTTGACATTAAACATTAGATTTGTTCACATTTTTTGTAACTCTAGAACTGAAACTTGGGCCTCTTGTCTGACTGTTTGTTTTGATGGAGGGATCCATGTGAGTGTTGGACAGCTTCCCAGTGAGTAAGTRATGGGAAGTCTCGCGGGTTTCTGTGGAGTCACAAACTCCATTACTGCTGCTATTTTAAATCCTGGGTCTACAAAAACCAACCCACCCTCTCTTAAGTGTTGCAGTGAACTCAGAACATGTAGGCGTAAATTCCCCTCTCTTATATGCCAGAAGAAGTCCCCAGTCGAACTCGTGATGACTCCATTTGTAGCTTTATCGTGACAATTTAGGTTATTGTGTCTCCACACAGGGTTAACATCTACTTTATGCTTGGGACGAAAATTATGTAATATCCTTTTCAGTGACATTCAGGAAGGAAGACCAGTTGTGTTTTCAACATTTGTGTTCCTAAAAACCCACTTTTGTACACTATTCATAAGTCTAGAAAAGGATGTAAATATTTCTGAGATGTAAGTTTTAGGAAGTGTGGCGTAACGTAGGTGAACAGGGTTGTGTAGGAGTATCATTTTTCTAAACGTCGCAGTCTTCCTTCCTTTTGTGTTGCGAAGTKTGATAGTGGACAAGTGCGTCACTCTACACACAGTGTCTGTTTTTAATGTTACATGTGCTTCCTGCAGTGGGTGGAGTGCCTAACCGAAATAACTGAGTTTCACCCTCATTTCTACAAACATTTRGAAACTGACTTTTTATTTTATTTATTTATTTTGTTGTTGTTTTGTTTCAGGGTCTGAGCTGCAGGATCACGCACGTTTTAAGAACTAACTGAAGATGCAGGGAGCCGTCGCACGCGTGTGCATGGTGGTGGCCGCTGCCATATTAAACCACCCCCTGCTCTTTCCACAAGAAGACCTCACGCCGCCGGAGCAGGACGAGGAGCTGGTGGCTCGCATGCGGGAGCACGAGGAGAGGCTGGAAATGGAGCAGGCCAGGCTCGAGAGGGAGCTCTCCCAGATGGACTCCAGGCAGGAGGAAAGCCGCTCCGACGACGGGTACGCTTGGTACTTTTGGAGCGCGGTGTCTTTTGTGATATTCTTTACCATCGAGATGTGTCGGGTAGACCTCGCCGACAGTGAACTCGGGGCAGTTGAGGACGAAGACGTAACCGAGGGTGGATCTCTCCCAAACAGGATGGTAGCACTTGATAAGAACGTCCTGAGGAACTTCTGTGACAAGGGCACCTACACCTCAAACCACGAGCGCTGGAGGGTGAGGGAGTTTGTCGAGGGATTTGCTGACGACCTGCTCGAGTCGCTCAGGACGGTGCACGACAGCGAGGCGGATCTGGAAGTTGGGGACTTTGTCGGGATCGGAAGCATGTTTGAGTCTTGGAAGGTGTTCAAGCCCCTCACGTGTGACCTTATCGTGGCYTTGTCACCTGCGGACCCCCGTGCCTTCCGGTACGATCTGTGGTGCGGCTCCTCCACGGACGTAGCTCCAGACATGCAAGGCTGCGGCACAGTAAAGGCGACTAGATTCAGAGGGGGTGAGGACGACTGTCTCTGCGGCTCCGTGGACCTGGGGGAGGACATGCTGTGTCTGTTACACAGCAGGGACGACACAGTCCAAGTGAGCCACGGTCCAGATGAGCCGCTGTGCTCCAAGGACTCTCATTTTTTAGCCAAAGATCGGGTCATGAGCTGGTTTCAGATCGCCGTGACCAGAGCGTGGGGACGCATCTCTCACAAGTACGACTTTGACGTCACTTTTCGCGACCTGGACGCCGCCGGCGCTCTGAAAATCCGATTCCCCTCAGGAAAAGTCATCGGGCTGAACATCATCCCGGCGGTTCAGCTGTGGGGGACAGATGCTTACTTTGTGTCGCGCTTTCCGTCAGATCGCGACAGCTGCCCAGACCCACACTGGCCTCTGTCTTTTGCAGTCTACGAGCAAAACCTCCTGAAATATTTAGCCAAACGCCTACCAAAGAACTCCTGCCATCTACACTGTCTTCAGATCGTTACTTTCCTACACAGGAAGCAGTCGGGTCTAACCGGACCGAGCGCTCTCATCAGCTACCACCTAAAAACRGCCGTGTTGCACTTGTTGCTGAGCACGAGGACCGCCTCGTGGGGCGCCGAGTGTTTGGAGCGCAGGCTGCAGGACGTGTTCCGCTTCTTGCAGATGAGCCTGCAGGAGAAGAGACTTCACCACGCTCTGGTGGGGAACCCGAAAGTGCCGGCGGAACTCCAACTTCCCGAGACTTTTCGCAAAGCAGAGCCCATTAATTTGTTCAGGKCTCTGGTGCTGCAACGGGAACCCTACGCAAACGCCGTCAGGCATTTCCAGGAGATGTTGAGAAACGCGCCCGTTCTCCTTGAAGAATACACCCCTTATTTATCGAACGGACGTTTGCGCCACAGTCTGGAGGAGCTGATGAGTGCTGGCCACTCTGCACAGTAGTTCTCTTTAAATATCAGCGTTACAAGGATGAACAGATGGCTATTCTTTAGAGTAGAATATAGCCTAACAAATATAATTCAATGTGTTTTTTCTTTCTGCAGAAACATGTTTTAGAAGATTACATGTCATATTTTAAGTCTAAATTTGAACCATTTAACAAACATTACAGCAGTGTTGTTTTTTCAACTATTTGACTGGCAGCTATTACTAGTTTTAATGTTCATGCTAAACCTTTTTTACTGCCTTTGAAGATGTTTTTTGTGATTTTTTTTTCCTGGTGTCAGATCTTTGCACTTTTTATCAATCAGTTCACAAGTTCAGAGCAGAGATTTGTAAAGGTTTCAGTTTTATTATAAGAAAAACAAACTTAAAGTGTTTCAGATGCCTTTCTTGACAACTCAGACTTTGCCTTTAAGAAATAATGCAAGTTAAGACAATGCTCATTGAAAGTAAAGGCAGACCTGACCCGGGAGTATTAAAAGACAGTTTTTTTTTTGTTTGTTTTGTTTTTTTTACAAACCACAGTCGTAATCAGGTATCCCATTAGCGTAACTCTTGTTGTAGGCTTTGTAGGTGTCGAGGCTGGTCATGGTGGATTTAACGGCCGGGTCCTCCAACATGCGCTCCATCCACTTCTTCAGCTCCGGTGCGTCCTCCAGGAGGCTAAAAGACAACGGGAAGTAAATTATTCATAGGAGACAACATCAGCACATTAACAGTTGTATGCAAAGATTACAATTATGTACTCTGTTCCTAACAGTCTATAACAAAACTATTATCAGTAATTCAAGTACTTTTATACTCCATAATAAACATGGTATCAATCAGGACCTAACCTTTTTTACCAGTAAAGTCTTATACTCGTCATCTAATTACTGAAAGGCTCAAACTGTTAACAGATTCCTATGAAGCYCTCTTCTTGTTTCAAATTGTATAAAATTATTCGTTATGACTAGTTAGTCAGTCTAAAAAGCTAAACTATATGACTAAAGATGATTCATGTTCTCTGTTCTTGTGATAATCCCCGCTGTTTATTGTAAATGTCGACTCTAATTTTGCTGTGTTGTACAGTTTGATGCTGAGGTGTTACATTATTAAAACTTATTTATTTAAAATCAAATAATAATTATACTCACTTTTGCAGCTCAAAGATCTCGACCCTCTCAAAAAAAGGCCACATCATGTAGTCGATCATTGTGATAGTGTCGCCACCAAAGTACTTGCTCTTCTTCTTTACTAAATCCTAAAAAAAACAACAAAATTTATCAGTGTAGCGTCGATGTTAAACATCAGAGCTACAAACAAGTCGACAACTTGCCTCGTTTAATTTGGCAAACTTCTCTTTCAGCTCAGCTTCCAGTTTGGACACGTCCTCACCATTCCTTCTCCCTACTTGTATCTTGTAGAAGTAGGGTGTTACCTACAGAAACCAGTGTTATGGTTATTTGATGCTAAAAGCACGAGACAAACAACATCAAACAAAATGAAATTTAGATGCAGGGTTTACCCTCAAAATACCTTGGAAAAATACTCCAGCATCATCTTTTGCTGCGCTTTAGCATAAGGAGAGGCTGGAAGCAGCTTCTTGTCAGGATACACCTCGTCCAGGTACTCACAGGTGATGGGAGACTCGTAGATCACTTCGCCAGCAGGTGTCTCCAGCGTTGGAACAAGACCAAGCGGGTTCTTCTCAAGGAACCAGTCGGGTTTGTTTTTCAGGTGGATGTTGATGGTGTCATACCTAAACGAAAAGGTGAAAGATCATCACAGGTACTGTACCTCAGAGGTTGATTGCCTGGGAGACTGGACGTGTGCAGAGGAGGGACAGTGGTAGTATATTACAGCTGAAAGATGAAGACACAGGGAAGGCTTTTTAAAAAATAATATTAAAAATGTATCTTTACTTAATTCCTTTGGCATTTAGCACTAATCTGGTCCTCTGGGCAAAAGGGCAGAATCTCATACTGTAGAGTCGTAGGCGGTCTTTGGGGACTGGGCCGGGTGCAGCACTTCCTGAAATCATTAATAAAATTACTGTTTATTTGTATTTATTATTATTCAATTACAGCAATTACATTACATACATTTTCTTCTTACACAGTAACTATAATCATTTAGTGTTCTGCTTAAAAGTATCCCACAGCTTAGAGCTCAAGAATCAAATGATCAAAATCTGGTTAGCTATAAAGCCATGCACTTTAGTTATTAACTAGAAAGCACCACATTAACCTTTGTGACCACAACATTTGAATAACGAACAAAAGGGTACATTAATAATTATGTTTTATTTTTTTTATTTGTCTTTTTCTTGTATGTGCCTTCTCGGTTTTATAGTATCACGATTAATTTAAGTATCTCTAATTTATATATTTTTGACATTTATAACAGCTTAGCTAGCAAAAAACAAAACAAAAAACCGTGACAATAAAAGCAGTATGTGTACATATTTTACAATCCTACCTTGAGAGTAACATTTTTCAGTGGACATATTTCCCTTTTAGTCGGAACTTGCTGCAGTTCCACCGACGATAAAATGTATAGAAAACACAGACTGTTGCATCAACCACCACAAAGTTGTATAACTCTTTGATAAGCGCGCCTTGCAGCGCGTATAAAAAGCTATTTTAATTTGAAGGCTACTTCCGGTGTGGGTGTGTCATATAGCAGCGAATGACGTTCGACGACTTGTTTCTGCTGGTGTTTGTGACTCGTTTATTCTCTTTCCTGTTATATTCCTAACCCGTTTGAACATCGCTTTAACAGTGAACATCTTTGTGAAAATCGTTTACTAACTTATGCTCGAGTTAGCTTAGCATTAATGCTCATTAACCTCTGCTGTGGACTTTATTGAATATTGCATCATACTGCRATCTACTGGCCAGGCAGTGGAAGTGCACCACAAACACCCCTCCCTCTACAAATTACATTTAAACGCTACTGTAAATTTTTTATTTATTTAAATWTACATGATCCGATCTGATTCTGAGCAGGAAAATATATATGTTGTAATTTACTGTCTTTTTTGACACAGGTGAAATGCAGAGTGACATAGAAAACCAGCAAGGCGGATTGTTTTCAACTGCTTACAAAAATAATTTAACCACAAAATCCCTAAAATCAAGTGAATGATTCAAATGGGTTTGAGTCTTTTGATAATGAATGGCAACTAATATATAATATTAGTTCTGATAGTAGAAATTAAGATTTTGAGGAGGAAAAATTGTATCACGAAACTTTCGTTGTAAAGGCTTTTAAACTGAAAGTTGATGAGTGAGGAGCATTTAATCAATGTATGACTATATTTATTATATATAAAAAAGTATAGATGAAATTGTGCACATTACCAGTCTGTATGCACTTTCTTCAAACATGAAAAATTAGAAAATTCAATTTTTGTGTATTGGGAGCTTCTCTCGTGTGTTTACTTAAACTCAAGATTACATTATGACTTTAAAATACAGTGTGTAACAAAAAATATGTTGGGTATAGGGATTTATTAAGTCAAATTTTATTATTAAAAAAAACTCAGGTTTAAAACAGAGGGATTACATGTTTATTTTTATTTTAAGAAAGAGGCCGATTCAAACAGATTATCAAACTGACTTCAATAACCTCCAACACAAGAACAGACGGTCCTGATTTGGAACAAAGATAAATGAACATTAGCTGTTTTCTAAAGGCCATAGTCAAAGTTGGGGGTTCCAGCAAGATAACCTTTATTAAAGCCCCTGTGGGTATCCACGCTGTGCAAGACGGATTTAACAGCTGGGTCCTCAAACATGCACTCWGTCCACTTCTTCAGCTCAGGTGTGTCGTCCAGGAGGCTGGAAAGACAATTAAAGTAAATCATTCACAGGAGAATAGAACATATTTACCATCCAGTTGTATCCAAGGGTTTGAGCTAAATCTGAATGAACATYTTTTACTTTTTAACTGAACCTTATTACTGTTCCAAAAATGTATCACTCACTGATGCAACTCAACCACCTCAAGTCTCTCAAAAAATGGCCACATCATGTAGTCGATCATTGTGATGGCATCGCCACCAAAGAATCTTGTGTCTTTCTTCTTCAAATCCTGGAAAATATCCATGTTTTCCCCCATCAAATGTCAAACTGTGTGTATAGTGGTGGAAATCATAAAAATATATATACTCATTTGCAAAACGTTGCACCTTACTTCATTAAATTTGATCAACTTCTCTTTCAGCTCGGCCTCCAGTCCGGACGTGTCTTCATTCTTCAGTCTCGCTGTTGGGATCCTGTAAATGTATGGTAGTACCTAAAAAACAAAGTGTTGCAGCTTAGGTGTCAAAAACAATAAAATCTAAAAATTTAGAAGCAGCTTTTGCATCTAAAATACCTTGGAAAAATACTCCAGCATCATCTTTTGCTGGGCTTTAGCAWAAGGAGAGGCTGGYAGSAGCTTCTTCTCAGGATACACCTCGTCCAGGTACTCACAGGTGATCAGAGAATCACAGATCACTTCACCAGCAGGTGTCTCCAGCGCTGGAACAAGACCAAGCGGGTTCTTCTCAAGGAACCAGTCGGGTTTGTTTTTCAGGTGGATGTTGATGGTATCGTACCTAAAACATACACAAAAGGTTTGTGCAACTTTCTCAGAGCGAGGATTAGAGGAATGTTTAGTTTTTACAGCTCCGGTGGATTTCTTAGAAAACAGAATCAGTGAAGATATCTTTACTTGATCCCTTTGGCATTCAACACTAATCTGGTCCTCTGGGCAAAAGGGCAGAATCTCATACTGTAGAGTCGTAGGCGGTCTTTGGGGACTGGGCCGGGTGCTGGGCTTCCTGTAGTAATCACAAATAATAATAATAATTAATAATAATAATAATAAT